GCTGCTTGACAATTTTTTATTGAATGTCTTCTGCTCAGCAGTTAATTCGCTATTTTTTCTGCGCTTGTATGGAATTAATGCCCATGGAATAATTTGATGAATTCCTTGATAGCCAGAGTCTGCCAAAAGGACTGGTATTTGATCGATTTCTGCTTTCATCTTATCTGCTTCTGCTTTTAATTTGCTTATCAATGTGTTGGATTTCCTAAACAAATGAAAATCATGTCTCTTTCCTCTGATTGGTTTGGAATAATGTAAAAGAAATCCTTTTGGGCTTACAAAGCACTGAGTTTTGATGCAGCATATTTTATGTTTGCCTGAATAATATTTTTCTTGATTGGCACTTCTGGGTATCTCTTGAACTGTGGCATCAAGTGCTCCCAACATATAAGGATATTCTTTTGATTTTTCGCGATCATCCCATTTAATAAATGATCGCCATTTCACATATTCTCGGCCGATTTTAGAACCAATTGCATCGATCACATCAATGATAATTTGCCTTGTGTGTGTCTTTTTGATACCGAATTTATCGGCCAATTCTTCGAATCCAGGAGCGTGTTTAAGCCATGTTAATGTAATTAATAAACGTGCTTCCATTGAAACCCTAGTATTCTTATAATGATGTAATTCAATTGAAGGGATGAAAAGTCTTATAAGATCTCGAAAATCTTTGCACGTAAGATTTGTTAATTTAATTAATGTATTATTATCGTCATTGTGTAAAATTTCTTCTATTCTTATTTTAAGTGGTTCTTTTTGTTTTTTTGGAGGATCTGGAATTATTGGAGCGTCAGCAAAAGTGGCGATGTAATCGATTTCCCTTTGAGCAAAAAATGCTATTGGATCATCTGTATCTTGAAGTGGTTCAGGATTTGGTACGGGCGTGGTATTTTGATGTGGTGGATCAATTTGTACGGGCGTGGTATTTTGATGTGGTGAAATACTCTGTGCAGGCGCAGTATTCTGATGTGATGAATGACTTTGTACAGGCGTAGTACTTGGAGCTTGGGTCCTCTGTGATGCTGATTGAGCAGCTCTTTGGCTTGAGGACGAATGACCTTTTTTCTTATTCATAAATGAAGTCAAATGCTCTTTCTTGAAAATTTGAATTATTTTACAATTTTTCTAAAGATATATAAAATTTCAATAGGCATACAATATTTCAATAGACATATATGATTTCAATAGACCTATAAGAATTCAATTAACATATATTATTTCAGTAAGGTGGAGATTTGTTCAACTCATGTTCAATATTATAAAATATATATCATTGTGAATATAACACCTATAAAATATAAAATTATCAGATGATTTTAAATTAAATTGTAAGCAAATAGTTCGATATTCTAGAATGAAATGGCTGCCGATGACTTCTTGATAATGATTTCGCCTGTGATAAATCGATAAAACGCCATCGAAGCCATCGATATGCACTAGTTCTGGATGTAAAAAAAAAAAAAAAAAAAAAAAAAAAGGTAGTGGGGCTTCCAGGCACTTCGTGCCTTCTAGCCCTGAGGATGAATGAGTATAAATGAAGTCTTGACAAAGTCTTTACGAAGAAGTCTTGACAAAGTCTTTACGATGAAATCTCAACAAAATATTTATGAAGAAGTCTTGACAAAATATTTATGAAGAAGTCTTGACAAAGTCTTTACGAAGAAGTCTTAACAAAACATTTACGAAGAAGTCTTGACAAAGTCTTTACGAAGAAGTCTTGACAAAGTCTTTACGATGAAGTCTTTACGAAGAAGTCTTGACAAAGTCTTTATGAAGAAGTCTTGACAAAGTCTTTATGAAGAAGTCTTGACAAAATATTTACGATGAAATCTCAACAAAACATTTACGATGAAGTCTTGACAAAGTCTTTACGAAGAAGTCTTGACAAAGTCTTTACGATGAAGTCTTGACAAAGTCTTTACGAAGAAATCTCAACAAAGTCTTTACGATGAAATCTCAACAAAACATAGACAAGAAAGTTCATGAGTGTAAATGACCCAAAAATATATTTTAGGGTAGAAGGGTATATCTACCCCGTTTTCTACCCTCTTTTCTACCCTCGTGAATTTTCATGAAATTTATACAGAATTCAATAAAAATATATTTTAGGTGAAGAGGTGAGATTTCACCTGTTTTTTCACCTAATTTTTCACCCTCTTGAATTTTCATGAATTTTACACCAAAAATATACTACTAGGGTCATTTATGAAGAAATCTCAACAAAGTCTTTACGATGAAATCTTGACAAAACATAGACAAGAAAGTTCATGAGTGTAAATGACCCAAAAATATATTTTAGGGTAGAAGGGTATATCTACCCGTTTTCTACCCTCTTTTCTACCCTCTTGAATTTTCATGAAATTTACACCAAAAATATACTACTAGGGTCATTTACGAAGAAATCTCAACAAAGTCTTTACGATGAAGTCTTGACAAAGTCTTTACGAAGAAGTCTCAACAAAGTCTTTACGAAGAAGTCTTAACAAAGTCTTTACGAAGAAGTCTTAACAAAAGTCTTTACGAAGAAATTCATGAAAATTCAAGAGGGTAGAAAAGAGGGTAGAAAACGGGGTAGATATACCCTTCTACCCTAAAATATATTTTTGGGTCATTTACACTCATTTACGAAGAAATCTCAACAAAGTCTTTACGAAGAAGTCACAATAAAACATCTGTCAAAAACCGCTTTTTAACTTCACTTAAAATGCCACGTAAGCTACGTAAGAATATACGTAAGAGGAAGAGAGCATTGAAACATCCAATAGTAAAACTGACACCACAACAACAGTTGCAACAACAAATGCTGAATGACCCCACTATGTTGCAACAAATGTCAAGCAATCCTATGCTTTTAAACCGAGTTGTTGGTGCACAGAGTGGAGGTTTAAGAGCGGCACTTTTAGCGAAAATGGCAGGCTATGGTGGAGCTGCAGACGGAACAGCCTATAACCCTCAAAGTCAAATGAATTTGAGTTCACTCAAAAATCAAATAACAGATGTCAAAAAGTCAAACATAGACATACAGAAGCAAATAAGTGAAAACGAAAAGAAACTAGAATATGACAGACACACAAAGAAACTCAATGAGTTAAACGTAGAGAAAAAGAAGAAAGAAGAACAACTGAAAGAACTAAATACAGAGGAATATGCGAAAAAAAGTGTCAGAAAAGCAGCAGAAGTAGCAAAAATGGAACAAGATGTTATAAATTTGAAAAACCATACTACTCAATATAAAGTACTGAAAGATGAAGAGATAAAACAAAAAGCCATGAAGACATATATGGATAGCGATGAGTATAAAAAAGAAGTTGAAGCAACTGTAAAGGCAGAAAAACTTTTACAGTTGCAAAACCAAACCGTACAGTATGAAAACTTAGCACAAGAAAGTAAAAATAACGACGCAGCCATGCAAAAGGCAATGAAAAGCGCAGAATATATAAAAGCTAACAATGACTGGTTAGATGCCCAAGCCAACGCTAAAGCAGCCCAACTCATAGGGTCAATAAGGACAAAAATACAAGCGGATGAAGACAGTTCAAATGAAGCTTTAACAAATGCTGACTTTAAGAACGCCTTCGAAGCTCTTCATAGTAAGGTGAAACAAGTGAACGACTTCTCATCTGGAAAGAAACTGAAGTCTGAAGGTTTCGACAAAGAGTTAAAAGAAGTAGCACAAAATATGACGAAAATAACAGATGCAGCAACGAGACAGGCAGTTCAAAGTGCCTATGACGCCGTTAGAGCAACTGTTGTGAAAAGTCAAGAAAAAGAGTTACAACAGACTAAAACAGACCTAGTAAATGCTTTCTTAAGAACGAAAAGTCAGGTAGGACATTACGCTGCAGATGGAACATATGTGCCAGCTGGTGGAACTTATATACCACCAAACCCTCCAAGAGAAGCACCTGCACCAGGACTACCTAAAACATTTACATCGTCACATGGACACAGACACAGGCATGCACCAAAACCAACAGTTCAAAATCCAGCACAGCAACCAACACAACAACCAGCACAGCAACCAACAGTTCAAAACCCTGCACAACAACAACCACAAACAGAGCAAGGACATAAAAGAAGTAGAGAACAAGGAAACCAAGAATTCTTAAAAATGCTTAAAGAAGAGTGTGGTTTCCCAGATAGTATTGACTTTAGTGACAGATATAAAGAAGCTATTAGAAAGTTCAAGGATGGAAATACTGACCCGAACCTATTTAGCTTTATGGCTCAGCACCAAAACGGATATAATCTCAAACCTGGAAAATACAAGCTCGCTAAGGGATATGATTTAATAGCATATCATCCAAATGACATGGATGAATTTACTCCGAGATATTTGATGTCAGAGCTAAATGACAATTCAACTTTCGTCATGAAACGCGTAAAAAATAGAGACGGAACGAAAGAACAAAAGCTTATGAATGCGGATGACGTAGATAGGGAAATTGTTAAAAACGGTCTCGGAATATATGAAATGCCAGCAGATGAGTACAAGAAACTCCACAGGAAGAAATAGTTCAGATACAACCAGACATGGAAGAAATAGTTCAGCAACAACAGCTAGAAGAGCCTGAAGGAAACGAACAAGTCACTCCTTTGGAAACTAACTTCACAGAACTAGATGAAGATTTGGAACAGCCGAAAAATCTTGACCCTCAACAAGAGTATGCGGAGAATATGGAATATTTCCAAGAGTCTAAAAAAAATTCGGCTGACATAGTAGAAGAATATCGAAAAATGTTTGCCGACATACAAAAGACTCCAGCACCAGATGAAAATATTCAGCATAGAATGGAAGAACTGAAAAAAATGTACACAAATACAACAACCCTTTTTACTTACGAGCATTTAACGTTCAATCTTCGGATGAACTCGGTGAAAATAAAAGGTTAAATTTCAAGAAAACATATAGAAATGAAACATTGTTTAAAGTTCATTCAGAACCTAGCCAAGATGGAAACAAACCTACTTTTGTTTCTGCAGACGATGGAACTACAATGAGATGGGGTCATAAAGCTAATCCAGATAGGTGGTTCATAAACTTACAACCTCAATTCCAAGAAGTTGTAGACGCAATGGAAGTGAATGGTGAACCAGATGTAGCTGGTATTTTCAGCGCGGCTTTAATGCCATTGAAAGATATGAAAGATGCAGATATTTTGAACCAGTATGAAATGAACATGGCTGATGGAAATATAACACCTGACGTTCTAGAACATTTATCTCAAAGAACTACACAGAACCATAGAGATGGTATATTTGGTGAAGAGTTTAGAAAGAAAGTTAGGGAGAGCGAAGGAAGAGAACCTATTGTACATGACCTTGCAAACGAAAGTTTGCAAAATGTCATAAAAACTTACTTTGCAGACAATGAACTGAGAAGGGATGAATATTTAAGAAAACTCAAATGGACAGTACCAAATGAAATGTTAGTATTGAAAAACATGTTCCTTGACAAAATAAAACCAACTACAGAAATAAACGACGCAAGACTGAAAGATTGGGTAAAAGCTTTCCCATTCACAAAAGATATTGTTGGTAACATGGAAAGAAAACCAGAATGGCTACAAAAACATATATTTGGAAACGAGCATATTCCATATGGACAGGCACTGTTTGAAGAGCTTGAACCAGAAACTCAGGACAGAGTCATGCAAACAATAAGCGACGACTCAAATACAAACTATGACAAAATCTTTCTAGGATATAGGTTACCTGAGATGGGCGACCAGAGCCAAAAGGCAAAAAGGACATGGGAAATTTGCAACATACTAGATGAACATAATGCAAAGATGCAACAACTTCAAGCAGAGGGCAATGAAGGAAAAAGAAGAGTTAAAAACTCAGTCAGGAAGAAAGTAAAGCTTGGTCCACGTGGGTTCTATTATGACATATAAATCCAACTATTCTATATTTTTACTCATATGAAATGTACGCCGCTCAGAATATAACGCCAACAGTTTTGGATGCTATGAATGGAAATGTTTCCGAATGGTATAACGAATGCGACAATGCCATTAGAAGGTCAGAAATAGTTCCTGGAACTTACGAATATACAACTGCTGTTTCTTATGGAAACGTAGGTGAGTTTGGAGAAGGTTCTTCAACAACAGTAGATATTGCTTGCGACAGGTTTCATATAATTTCTATTGACAACTCATTCTTATACGTGGAACAAGACATTGAAATAAAACCTTCTGCCAAGTTGTCTGACAAAAAAGGTTGCAATGGAATTTTCTATGTCGGATACCAATATGCTCCAGAAGTTTTCATGGGATATAAGATATATTCTAACTCTGACTTAGTTCAAACAGTAACATGGGCAAACTATGAATGGTTCGCTTTGAGAAACTCAGTACAACCACAAGCTAGAGAACAAACAGACCAGTATGCAAATATTGAGAAAATAAGAAGACTTGACCCTAACGTTCCAGGAGTTTATGTTAACCTTTCTGGTTCAGATGGAAATGCTGCCACTAAAGTAAAACTGAAACTTAGAGTTCCTTTGTCATCTTTCCTCATCTTCAGGTTTTTAAGATACTTGCCAAACTGGGCAGGAAAAATTTCTATCGAACTTACTCCAAGCAAAAATAACTTAGTCATTGCACCAACACAAGACCCATTCACTATTACAGACGTAAAGGGAACAAATCAAACGTCATTCGCCGAATTTTGCAAAGACAAAGTTGACTTAGACTTTGGTTTCTCAAACTTCAACAATGAAGTAAACTATTATTTCAATGCTGCTGGAACTGCTTGGGACCCAGTTAAGTTCACATGCGAAAAGTTTGAATGCAAGAGAATAGAAAGCAGACTTGCAGTCTATATGTTGGACCCAGATATTTCAAATGCTTTAGCTGCCAAATATATTGCAGTTCCACTTATGTTCCCTATACACCAAATATCTGTCAAAGACTTTGCAGGTGAAGTTGGAAACCAAAGTGCTGACCCAGGTGCAAGAACAGATATTGCTTTAACAACTGCAATGAAACATGCAGATACTATGTTTGTACTGTTCAGACGAACTATAAATGACTATTCTTGCTTCTACAACCCTGGTATTAAATATCATATAAACATAGATGGCAAATACTATCCAAGAGAAGAATATTCTACAGTTGAGGATATGAGGTCATACAACTTGACATTAGATGCTATGAACTTTAACAACAACTTCACAACAACCATTAACCCTGAAATGCAAAGTTCTATTATGCCATATGTGAAAGTATGGACTCATACAGGAGGTCAAAAAACTCAATATACAAATGGAGACCGTTCAAACTTTTGGCTTGGCATTCCATTTGCTGACTCAGAAGACTTTATGGGTGGTATTTCAACTGTTGGTACTGTACAAATACAATATACTGGTGACAGAGACGGTCCAGATGAACTGAGAGCAAAGAAGTTTACAAAACCAATAGCACTTTTCACGGAAGATGCTCTTTTGAAGATTCGTTCGATGAAACCTGCTGGGGCTCCTCAGATTGGCATAACGACAGCTTCCATCGAGCAGATTTTGGCAGCAGGTCAGTAAGTTGTTCTTGAACTGACTTCTCTCCGTCAAATATTGACAGTACGCCAGTTTTGACATAATATTGTATTATAAACTTACCTTTAGAAATATCTGTAAGTTTTGTTGTTATATTTTTGTCAACGTCAAGAACTTTCACCATCTCTTATACCAACTTTCTTTGCTTTATGAAAATATTTAGGTTCAGCAAAGACTGCTATTCTATAACATTTTCCATTGTTTGTGTAAAGAACTATTCTGTCAATGTATTTGTATTGTTTGTGTGTGTAAACTTTGTTCTGCTTCAATTCGAAGAGATACTCGAATACGTCCATCTTTTTTTCTAAGTAAAATGTCATTTCGAAAAATAGAAGCGTGAGTGTTTCAAAAGGTTTAATGGCGGTGGCAGATGTGAAGTTAAATTCACCAACTCAAACAAACAGTCAAAGTGTTGTTGTCAATGTCAAGAAAGAGATGTTGAAGTGGGGAAACCATACGAAGACGAAGATGGTATAACAATAGTTCCTGTAAAGAACAACCAACATATCCTGAAGTTAGCAGAGACTTAAGTTCTGTTGCAGATATTCGAAAACGACTACCAACAACTTAAAGACAAACTTAAAACTCAGGAAGATTTGTCAAGCTTTAGGTATAATGTTAAACTTGGTCGACACAACCCTGTAAAAGTGAACTCATATGTCATCGCACCTCATGAAATTTTGAAAGAACTATTGAAACTTTTGACAGAGGCAGACGATATAAACATCAAAGAAATAGAACCGACGTTAGTTGCTGTGGGTTTTCATATAATGTCATTGACAAGATATACGTTATGAAAGGAGGTGAAACGTTGAACTTAAAATATAGTTTCCCAGACGTCATAAAAATATTTGACGACCACAACATTTCATTAAAATTTACTTGCTAAGTAAATGGCAGAAGACATAGTGGTTTATACTATTACGACTAAAAACCTGAGTCATATAATTCTATAACAACAAACTTACAAAGTCCTCAAGGACGATATTGTAAACTAACCTTAAACACAATGACGACTAAAGCCTGTTTTGCTCTTTTGACACCAGAAGACTTTGTTGTTGTGAATGGTAAAAAATACTCCTTTGAAGATACTTACTCAGATATACCACCAACAGGTTTTGTTGACTTATTTAATACTTTAAGGACGGATGTAACATGTGCTGCAACTAGAGCAGGTTTCATTATGTTTGGATGTCCGACTGAGTTTACTATAAACGATATGAGCTATAATACAAAACTTATTTCTGGTTTTTTACTACCAACAGTTTCCTATAACAGGAAAAGGTGTCATACAAGGAATGTCTGTTCATTGACTTTAAGTACACCTATTTTATATATTGTTTCAAACTTAGGTTCAAAGTGCTATTCGAATGTTGACAGAAACTACTATGACAAAAGATACTCTGCGTATAACAACACTTTCTCTGCTGGTTTGCCTATTGTTCATTCGAATGCAGAGTTTTCAGCTTTAGTAAACTCAAACACTTTAGCAAACATAACGTTGACATTAGTCGACGCAAACTTTGTTCCTGTAAAACTTTTATGTCCTATGTATTTGTCAATGGCAGAAAGTTTCGAATTGGAAGATGCAACTGGTGAAAGTATTGTACTACAAGAAAACTTCAACAACAAATAGCTCAAGAACAACAAATGCAACAAATAGCTCAAGAATAAAAAAAATATTTTTTTTATTTTTATAAAAATGTACAGAATAGATGTTTCAGATTTTTATGACTTCCAAGCCTTCAGAAATATGTGTCCATTTAGAGACTATAACAAAGCAGTCGAGAATTTGAAACGTTTAGTCATTTATGTCGACTCTGCCCCAGAATGTTATGTTATGAAAGAATGGGATGTAGTCTTTAACAAACCAAGAGCAACAATAGTTTCAGAACAAGAATGTAGACAGAAACTTAAGAAAATAAAAGTTGTACAAGTTGGCATGAAGATGTTAGATGCTTGGGATATCTTATTGTCAAAACTTGAAGATTTTTCAGTTCGTGGTATAAAGTTTTATACACCTTCTCCAAACTTCTATTCTATCTTCACTGGATATAAATACGAACAAGTAGAATGGAAAGAAAATATTATAGAAGCTTGGTTAGACCATGTCAAAGAAATTATATGCAATGGAAACGAAAAGGTTTATGAGTATATCTTATGTTGGTTTGCAAACATCTTACAACATCCAAGTGCTAAAAATGAAACTGCTCTCATTATAATTGGAAAACAAGGAACTGGTAAGAATACTTTCTTTACAGATATTTTGTGCAAACTGTTAGAAGGTTATTCGAACCCTAATATGACAAACTTAGAAAACATCTGCGGTAAATTTAACTCTTCAATAGAGAATATGAAACTTATAGTATGTAACGAACTTCAAAGTATAGATACAACAAAAGTTTTGAACTCAGATGCTTTGAAGAGTCTTATAACAGACAAAGTTGGAGTTGTTGAAAGAAAATATAAAGACCAAAGAGTTTGTGAAAATGTTGCAAATTTCATTATGGTTTCAAACAACGCCGTTCCGATGAAGTTAGAAAGTTCTGACAGAAGATATGTAGTTGTCAGAACGTCAGATTCTCATATGCAAGATACAGAATATTTTGACGACTTAGCAGAAACTTTGACACCTAACTTTTACAACCACTTGTTCTCATATTTCATGACATTAGATATTTCAAAGTTCAATCCAAGACAAATTCCACATACCGAAGAAAGAAAACATTGTTAGAAGCAAACAAGAGTGTATATGAACTGTTTATAGATGAGACTAACTTTGAGTGTTTAGATGAAAGGTCATTGTACGATGAATATAAACAATATTGTCAAGAATATGGTTATATGGCAGCGTCTAAACGAACATTCTTGGCAAATGTCAAAAATCTTTTAGACATACAGAACGGCGTATATACAAAGAAAAATTTTTCTGAGTAAATTTAAAAAAAATATTTTTTTATCCGATAGAAAAGATGACGAAATATATTTCAGTCAACAAGTACATGACAGAAGTCAAAGAAGAACTAGACCCATTCGCTTATTTGAATGTTTACTTCTACCATTTTGAAAAGTCTTCATTCAGCAAAGTTTGGAACATCGAACCAGTTAAGTTTGCTATTGTGACTAAAAATGGTGCGAAATTTGAAGACTTAGACATAGAAGGTTTGTTAGCAGTCAAAGAAAGTTTTGACAGAAGGTTTTCAAACCTTAAAGAAGGCAAAGCATACAAACTTGTTATACCTTATGAACCAAAGAAAGCAGACGACTATGAATATTATGAGTCTAAAGTTGTAGAAGTTCAAGGTAAATTGGGTAAAAAGATTTTAGAGTCTAAGCCAGTGTTTGCTCCTAAAGAGGAAGAGAACATTGACATTGACCCAGAAATGTTCTAAAAATAAAATTTTATTTTTACATGTCATATCTCACCTTCTCTGGAACTGGTTCAGGTTCTTTCTTCTCTTCTACTTTCTTTTCTTTCTTCTCTCTCTTCTTCTTCTTTTCTGGTGGAGTTATGTCAAATTTCTCAGAACCATATTTATGTAAAAGTTCTTTGTCCTTTAATAGCTCATCTATTCTGTTTCCTATTTCATCTTCAAGAACAGCGCATGTGTCTTCTTTGCATTCTAAGAACTTTTGTTGGACTTCATCTTTCCAAGAGGCGTCATCTCTGTCAACAAGTCTGTCATTGACAAATTTTAAGACTTCTCTGCCTAATGTTTTATGGTTCTTGTCATATTCCCAGAAACAGAACTTTAGAACAAATTCACCTTTCTTGTTTACACTATGTAAGATTTTATGGTCGACAGAAGTTTTAGAGTCAAAAAGCTTGTCTCGAATATAGATAGCGAAATCACTAGACATTTTCTAAAAGATAAAAATTTTAATTTTTCTAAAAATATGTTAGAAAAAAAGTTTGCTGACATTGACAAGAAATTTGAGAATGTTTTGAAGAAGAACAAGAGGAAGTTAGAAAATGCTCAGATAAAGCCTATACATGACAAGTTCTTATTTGCTCAGAATGGTATAACAGGTCTAATCGCACCACCTGGGTCGGGTAAGACTTTCACTTATCTTAAAATGGCTGCACAACAACAAGAACTAGATGAGAAGAACCCATTCTATGAGTTAGTTGTTATTTGTAGTACTTCTGGTCAATTTGACCAAACCGTCAATTCGTTCAAAGATATTATAAAGAAGTCTAAGTTAGTATGTATAAAGGATACTGAGTTGTTAGATTGGATAAAGAAGTACCAAAGAAGAGTTTTGAAGTATAATGCTATAAATGAGTATATAAATTCTAAGTTTAAAGACCCAAATGAGGAAATGCAAAGAATATTAGAGAAGAAACACTTCAGAAACAAACAGAAAGAGATAGAATACATTTCGAAGAAATTGCAATCTTACGATTGGAAGACTTACCCTCATAGATGTCTTCTTATCTTAGATGACTTTGCTTCTCATCCTTTGTTAAAGAACAGAGAACAAGACATGTGTCGAATTCTTAAGAAGCTCAGACACTTTAACATCTCAGTTGTCATTTGTGTACAGACAGCAAAGAGTTTAAGTAAGGATGTTAAAAGAATACTTACTGATATCATACTTTTCCCTGGATTGTCCGAAGACGATTTCATGGAACTTATGAAAGAGTCCATGGCAGGTAAGTTTGACAGACATGAACTATGGGAGAAGTACAAAGTCATACAAGACCCTCATACTTCTTTCAGAATTCACATCTACGCGAACAAAGTTCAAATTGTAAAAAGTCAAGCTTGAAAATGTAAGTGTTTAGTCTTAGTAAGTCTGTCGGATGGAAGAGTTCTTCCTGTTGTCGGGAAGAGTTCTTCCTGTCGGATGCAAGAGTTCTTCCAGTTGTCGGGAAAAACTTTTTCTGTCGGAAGGAAAAACTTTTTCTGAAGTTCGACCAAAAAGTTCTCAATTTTCGAAAATTTGAATGGTTTACGGACGAACAACAAGAAAAATTTTTCCTGTCTGATGGAAGAGTTCTTCCTGTTGTCGGGAAAAACTTTTTCTGTCGGATGCAAGAGTTCTTCCTGTCGGATGCAAGAGTTCTTCCTGTTGTCGGGAAAAACTTTTTCTGTCGGATGCAAGAGTTCTTCCTGTCGGAAGGATTTGACGAGGCAATTTACCTAATTGAGCTACCTGAGCCATCTGAAGTCAAGCGTAAAAATAAAGAGTGCAATTTACTCTACTTGTTTGAAGTTGTCAAAATACTCTGTTATTTTTTCCTTTAACAATGGCAAATCTTCTTTGAAGGTAAGAATTGTACAACCTTTCATATCATAGTGTGTTTGAGGTAACGTATCTTGAACTATTTGTTTCACATCTTCATTCGGTGTCATTGAAATCGGTAAGTTTTCGCGATAGAACCAATTTCTGTCAGATTTGTAAATCTTAGCAAGGTCGTAAAAGCTTTTGTTGTTTCTTCTGACTAAATGCAACATAACCATATCTTTATCTTCTTCATTTTCCATCTCTTCAGTATAAATCATATACTTATAGTTCTTTTCCTTTCCTTTTGGTACCGAACGTGGTATTCTTTTCTGAATGCTTTTGTCTTTTGCTTCAAGCTTGTTTTCCATCTCTTCACGTTCTTGTCTGTGAAGTTCGTCAAGAAGTTTACAAACATACCATGAATAGCGAGCTGAAGCCCATTGTGCCACATTATTTACGAGAAGTCTATGAACATAATATCCTCTCAAACCATTTGGCAATTTTTCACGATTTTCATAGAGTTTTGGCGACTGGGGTTTCCCTCCCACTCGCTGTTCTTCACGATTTTCAGAAAAAAGTATGTCTCGCTGTGCTTCGCTCAAAAGTTCTTGTGTGCTTTGGTTCCTAAACCAGTCTTTAGGAAGCTTAGTATCTGGAGCAAAACATGCTGTCAAAATACTTTGCATTTGGTACATATCGTCTTTGACCGAACGAATGAGACGGAGTTGTTTGTTAAACTGAACCCACTCATATTCTTCATTTATAGCTTCATGGACTATAACTGTTGTTGTGTTCTCTGTTGTTGACATATCTGTCTTTACATACAAAATAAAAAAAATATTTTTTTAAAAATTAGCGTTATTTTTTTTAAGTTTGGTCATCCTTCACTATATGACAAATATACTATATTTTACTTAAAAATATGCAAGCGGCTCATAGCTCAGTGGTATGGGATACCTCGCTACAGGCGTCGAAGACCTCGGTTCAAATCCCGATTCGCGCAGGTTTTTTCCTTTTATGCAGTGAAATTTCATGTACATAGGTTACTTTGGTGTTAGACCCTAGTGAAGAAAATAGAACGATATAAGTTTACATTTGTAAGGCTACTTTGTGTTAGACCCTAGTGAAGAAAATAGAACGATATAAGTTTACATTTGTAAGGTTGGACGATAAAATTTACTGACTGACGTCGGACATTGTCTTGAAAAAGTAAAAGACTTGTCTTGAAAAAGTAAAAGACTTGTCTTGAAAAAGTAAAAGACTTGTCTTGAAAAAGTAAAAGACTTGTCTTGAAAAAGTAAAAGACTTGTCTTGAAAAAGTAAAAGACTTGTCTTGAAAAAGTACGGGTATCGTCTGAAATCAAGACCACTGTTCTCAAATTTGAGAACTTGACACCAAAAAATTTCTTGAAAAAGTAAAAGACTTGTCTTGAAAAAGTAAAAGACTTGTCTTGAAAAAGTAAAAGACTTGTCTTGAAAAAGTAAAAGACTTGTCTTGAAAAAGTAAAAGACTTGTCTTGAAAAAGTAAAAGACTTGTCTTGAAAAAGTAAAAGACTTGTCTTGAAAAAGTAAAAGACTTGTCTTGAAACAATGACCGACATAGACCCAGCAGATGAGGCAATCTACCTTATAGAGATAAATGAGCTAGTTAGGAACTACCTGAGCCATCTGAAGTCAAGCGTAAAAATAAACGCTTTACATGTATTTTCAGCAACTTCGTCAAATAATTTTATAGCTTTATCTATCTCATCTACTTCAAACGTTTCCTTACCTTTCGTGGGAGCACCATACATTTTCTCAAACTTTTCAAGTAGTTCTGTTTCTGCAGCTCTCATATCATTAACAAACACAACCTTGACTCTATTGACTGTACTGTCATATCTTTGAGTTATATTATATGTTCTTCCTATCTTATATCTCTTTGTATTGAAGTCCTTCGGTTTCTGAACGATGTAAAGTAAGCCTTCACTGCAACGTTCTGAGTCGAATAAACCATATGTTATGAAATTATATCCAACAACTGGGTCTAACCATAACAAAACTATTGGTATAAGACTTTTGTCTATAAGATATGCTGTAGTTCCATAGAATCTTACCGATATCATAAGCTCAGGATTTCTTGTCAAAATTTTCTGAGTAGAAGCAATTCTAACCCAGTCGTGTGGTTTCTTTCCAGATGGAGATATAATGTCTGACAAAGAATATTTGTTGTATTTCTTTGAGTATCTTACGTTTAAATCACCTATTCTAACCAATTTGGTGTCATTGTCTATCTTTTTAACTGTTTCAAACTCAATGTTTAACATTTCTGTTCTTACATACAAAATAAAAAAAATATTTTATAAAAAACTAACTTTATTTTTTCTATCTTAAGGAAATTCATGAAATTTGTGCTGAATTCAGTAAAATATATTTTAGGCGACCAGGTCACTCGGTTAAATGAACTTCTCTGAAAAAGTGTGACAACATGACATTTTGACAACAACACAGGAAATATACTTCTTCGTAAATGTTTTGTCAAGACTTCATCGTAATGAGCGTAAATCAGGCAAAAATATATTTTAGGGTAGATGGGTATATCTACCCCGTTTTCTACCCTCATTTCTACCCCATATGTCCTTACTGAAAAAGTATGTGTTCCATATGTCATTTTACTCAGAATTTTATACAGAATTCAATAAAAATATATTTTAGGGTAGATGGTTAGATCTAACCCGATATCTACCCTCTTTTCTACCCCAGTTATTTTATAAGCGTTTTACATGGTAAACATTGTGAATTCGTGAGACTCTAAACAGTTTCGTAGCTTCAATTTCTTCTTTTAGTACATCGAATGTTTTCACAATGCCGAAAGTTTCTTTATATTTCTTCTTGACATCTGAAAGAAGGAAATCGTCAGCTGTTGGATAGTTTTTGTTTAGAAATGTCAACATGTCCATTTTATCTTCTGCTGGTTTCTCTGCTTCTTTCTTTAAGTCAGCATAGTCGTTTCGCATACGTTCTATCTCTTTTACTGAATAGTTATATTTCCTAATTGCTGCTTTACATTTTGAACATTGTGGGTTCATTTTAGCATTGTACATTGAAACCTTACCTGCTAGTATGACTAAAGCGTCAATGGTTTTCTTTAAATCTGAAGCAGTTGGTTTTATCTGTTCATTCCATACCTTACCTCTTCTGTCTTTATCTCTTATCTGCCATACACATTTTGCAACTAACGAAACAAAGTTGTCGTAGGTCTTAAACTCCCCAGATTTATATATGTCAGAGATGTTCTTATATACCATGTCGCAATCTTTGTCCATGACTTTGTGGTTGCAATGAAATCCAAGAAACTCATAGTTTACCTTACGTATGAACTTCTTTATTTCTACTGAGTCAGTCAGTCTGACTTCTATTTCTTCAAATTCTGGAATGGTTAGTTTTTGTTGTTGGATTTCAGGAAGTTTAGGTAAATGGTCAATAATATCCTGCATTTCATAAAGATATTCTTCATCTGTTTCATCTTTTGCAGTGCAATCTAAATCTCCTTGGAGAAGTTCTTGCTTTATCTTCTGGATTTCTGTTTCAAAAGTATATGAAGAAGGAATGAAGCTTTTCATTTCTACTAACATTGAAGTTGGGTTCATGACTAACGAGTTTGGTGAAGTTGTTGCTAACATGTTCTTACAATAAAAATAAAAAAATATTTTTTTAAAAAAACCAACTTTATTTTTTATTTCGGGAAAACTCATGACAAATTCAAGAGGGTAGAAAAGAGGTTAGAAATCGGGTTATATCTACCCTTCTACCCTAAAATATATTTTTGTCGAAAAAAAATGGTTCATTTACTCACAATATTTTTGTACAAAACGACCCCAAACTTTTAACTTCTTTTCTGCAGCTTCTAATGAAATTTTAGCGAGTTCATATTCTCTAAATTCTCTCTTTAAATCTTCTTGTTCCCATTGGTCTAGTTCGTATGGAGAATCTCTATAACCAGAACATATCTCACGTTCATGTTCTATTTGTTTTTCATGCATTTTTCTAACTTCTTCTTCAAACAAAGGTTTTGCATTCTCTACTGTATCTTCAAGTTCTTCTTCATCTAATTTCTCATGAACTTTCTTGTCTATGGAGTCCAGAATTTTTCCAACTGCTATACAATATTTTGGAGAAGCCCACATTGCAATATAGTTTACGAGTCTTGGGTCTACATACATTCCTCTAACCTGTTTGATTTCATCCGGAATTCCTGCATGAACTTTGTATAAAAAGCAACCCGCCGTTTTCCGCGGGTTGGTATATTCTTCACAAAATGCCTTAAAATACTCTTCCCAGGACTTATTTTCCAACAACCTTCTAAAGTCTTTCCTAAACTGCTGACACATCTTTGTTGCATTTATATAACCATCCTTGTCTCTACGTAAGACTTCAATACCGTTGTAAGTGCCTTTTGTGAATGTTTCGCCATTAGATTTGTTCGTGAACGTTTTTGCTTCGACTGACATTTCTGTTCTTACAATAAAAATAAAAAAATATTTTTTGGTGGGACGTCGGACATTCGTTTGTGGCTTAACCGTCGGACCACAACGATAAAAATCTCGACAAAACATATACGATAAAAATCTCGACAAAACATATACGATGAAGTCTCAACAAAACATTTACGATGAAGTCTTAACAAAAAATATACGATGAAATCTATTTCCTGTGTTGTTGTCAAAATGTCATGTTGTCACACTTTTTCAGAGAAGTTAAAATGACCGAGTGACCGAGTGACCTGGTCGCCTAAAATATATTTTTTTCTATCTTAAGGAAATTCATGAAAATTCAAGAGGGTAGAAAAGAGGGTAGAAAACGGGGTAGATATACCCTTCTACCCTAAAATATATTTTTCAATACTTTTTCAGCACTTTTCCGTAGTTGTATATGAAAGACAATTCGAGATAAAAGTCATAGTATAATGGAATAATATGCTGCACACCGTTTGTTGTGAACCAAACTTGAAAGTCAGAGAAACTGTTACTAGGTGGTTCGTAGAATTTAGAAGCAAAGTCATAAAAGTCCTTACCAATACAAAGAAAACTGTTGTTGCTTGAACTGAAACTTGCATGACACATAACATTTTGAGGGTCAAACACGTTTCTATAAACTGTCAAATCTGTTGGTGGGCGTATAAATTTAAACGGACCGTCAGGTGGTAATGGTTCGTTCTGGTTTAGTAACCGAAGAAATTGTGCCCAAGAACGTTTGTCTACTTCCCAAAATAAAAACTCTGTACTTCTTCGAGGGTTAATTTCAATCCTTTGAAATGAAACGGTTGAGTTCATCTTGTCATATTCTAGTTTCAGATAGTAAGTTCCGTTTAGTAGAGAGTCGTATTTT